ATGTGGAAGATGTTCCAGTTGTCGTAGGTCAGGACGCCGAAGCGATCTTGCATGGCGGGATCGAGGAAGATGTTCCAGCCCTCGTCCTCGGCCATCTCCCGGCTGATCTTGTCGGTGTTGACCACGAAGCTGAAGGGGCCGAAGCGCTGGCAGACACCCAGCATCTCCTCGCCCGACTTGTCGAGCGCCCAGTCGAACGGCCAGGCGAACTTCGGCAGCATCTTTTCGTGGTAGGGGGCGAAGACCTCCTTGTCGACCGGCTTGATCAGGCCTTCGGGATACATCCACTCCCGTGCCCAGGGATTGTTCAGGTTGATGATGTCCCAGATCTCCGTTTCGCCGGCACGCAGCTTGTTGATCGCATCGGGGTCGGAGATCAGACCCTCGGCGCGAACGCGCGCATCGAACTCTCGGCGGAAGGGATCGAGCACGTCGTCGGAGGTGTAGCCCTCCCAGGCGTAGATGTTCAGTTCGTCGGTCCGCTCGGCCCGGGCGTGCTTGAAGGTCGGTGCGAGGCCGGCCGCGGCGGCGGCCGTGGCGCCGGTCATCTGCAGGAAGTTTCTGCGGCTGAGGCCGCGGTTGAGGGGGAAAGAGGCCATGGTCATCGCGCTCCCTTGACTCTGCGTGGTCCCTGTTCGTCGCGCCGCCCCCGCCCTCGGCTGTCCTGGCTTCAGTTGCCCGTCTTCTCGGGCATCCAGTCCGACGGCGGCACGGCTTCGCCTGACCTCCGGCCTCTTTGACGTCGGCTGTCGACGTTCGGGCGCCGGTTCCTTATGCGGACCTTTGCGCCGGGGCGGGCCGTTTGGTTGTCTTCGTATACTATCCTGACCTACCGACTTGGCAGGTCACAACAGAAAATCGCGACTTGCCGCATGAGGCTGACTCTCAGGACGGCAGTGAACGATTTGCCATAACAAGCCTATCGGCCTATTTCGCAGTGCACAATAAGGGAAATTGCGAGCGTCTCTCTCGCCGCGCGGCCGTTGCGTGACGCGACGAGCTGCGCGTCGCTGGCTTGCGATCTGCCAAATCAGCCGCGTTCGGCTAGGATCTCAGCCTGGATCTCCGTGGTTGCGGCAACTCGCGCATAGCCGCGCATGGCGTCCAGCGTGTGCGCATGGGCTTCCGGGCTGCTGCCGCAGCAGGCATCGCCGACCAGCGTGACGCGGTAGCCGAGATCGGCGGCATCCCGCACGGCTGACTCGACGCATTGGTCGGTAAAGACGCCCGCGATCGCCAGGTCCTCAACGCCCAGGTTGCGCAGCAGGTAGTGCAGGTTGGTGGAGGGAAAGACCCCGGACGCCGTCTTCGGCAGGACGATTTCATCGTCCAGCGGCGCGACGGCCTCGACGATCTCCGCCTCGACCGATCCCTTGGGAACCAGAATGTTAGAGAGCTTGTGGTCGAGCCCCCGATCGCGTCCGTCGCGGGTCAAGGCCTCGATCACGCAGTAGATGACTTCGATGCCCCTGCGTCGGCAGGCGTCGGCCAGCGCAGCTGCGTTCGGCAGGGTCTCGCCTTCCAACTGGGCGAAATAGGCGGCCTTGCGTGCTTCGGGCCAGCGCTCCGGCTCCTCGGTAAAGGTTCCGCCATCCCGCGCGCAGCAGTGATGCTGAAGGTCGACCATGAGCAACGCACTGCGGCCCGGCAGGAGAGGGCGATCACGCGGTTCGAGTGCACGAATGGTCATGAGAGAGGATCTCCTGCATGCATTATGGCGAACGAATTTGGCACTTAACAGATTGCCTGTTGGCAATGCCATAGAGGTTGGGCAGACTGCGGCCCTGGAACGCAGCGCGCCATCCTAAAGACGCAACCCTCAGGGACTCCATCGATGGATTTCATCTTCATGCTGACCCGCGAGGACCAGACGGTCGAGGACTGTCTGGCGGTCTTCGAAGAGATTCGCGGGGTCGGGGTGCAGCATATCGGCTTCAAGGATCTGGGGGTCGGGCGAGACACGCTCGCGGAGCTGAACCGCCGCATCAAGGACAGCGGCGCGGTCAGCTACATGGAGGTCGTGGCGACCTCTCCGGAGGAGGTTTTGCGCTCCGCGACGTCGGCGCGGGACATCGGTGTTGACCGGCTGATGGGGGGGACCGAGCTGGAGGCGGTGCTGCAGATCCTGGAGGGATCCGGCATCGGCTACTATCCCTTTCCAGGCCGGCCCGAAGGACATCCGACCAGGCTGGGCGGTTCGCCGGATCTGATTGAGGACCATTGCCGTCATTTCATGGAACGCGGCTGTGCCGGTGCCGACCTCCTGGCCTATCGCGCGACCGACGCGGAGCCGCTGGAGCTGGTGCGGGCGGCCCGGCGCGGTCTCGGCAGTCGTGGCGCGCTGGTGGTGGCCGGCAGCGTCGACGGGCCGGCGCGCATCCGGGCCTTGGCCGAGGCAGGAGCGGATGCCTTCACAATCGGTTCGGCCGCCTTCGACGGCGCCTTCTCCCCGCGCAAGGGCTCGCTGCGCAGTCAGCTTCGGGACATCCTCGCGGCAGCGGCCTCTGCCGGGACTCCGCTGCAGGCGGCCCGCGCCGGCTGAAACGCGAGACAGCCGTCGACGTCCGCTGCGGCCGGGGTCACCGCGTGGATCGCGACCTTGCCCCGGCGCCGAGCGGATCCCCCCATGCTATTGCCGCTGGTTTCGACCGCTGATCTGTCGCAGACTCGCGGCCATGTCCGCGACACCGCTGAAACGCCGCACTTCGAAGGACGAACGCCGCCGCCGCATTGTCGCGGAACTGCAGGCCAATCCCACCGTCCGAATCTCCGAACTGGCGCGCCTCTTCGGCGTGACCACGGAGACGGTGCGGCGGGATGTGGACAGCCTGTCGGACGAAGGCTTGGTGAGTCGGACCTACGGCGGTGCCGCGGCGACGACGCTGAGCCGGGAGCCCAGCCTGGACGAGCGTCACGGCCTGCTGGTCGCCGAGCGTCAGCGGATCGCCCGCGCGGCGGTGGATTTCGTCGAGGACGGTCAGGTGCTGATGATCGATTCCGGTGCGACCACCGCGCACTTCGTGCGCCGCCTCGCGGTCGAGCGCCGACGCCTTACGGTGATCACGAACGGCACGGGCTTGGCCGCGGCCCTGGCGGCCAACGACAGCTTCAGGGTGCTGCTCTGCCCCGGCGACTACAATGCGAGCGAAAGCGGCACCTACGGGCCGGAGGTCGGAGCTTTCCTGGAACGCTATCGCGCGGATCAGGCCTTCATCGGCGCCGGAGGGATGACGCTGGAGGGGCCGAACGACGTCTCGGCTGAACTCTGCTGGGTCAAGCGGGCGATGATCGAGCGGGCCAGCGAGACGACGCTGCTGGTCGATCACGGCAAGTTCGGGCGTTTCGGTCTGCTTCGCATCTGTGCACCGGAGGCTTTGCGGCGTCTGGTCAGCGACGCGCCTCTGCCCGCCGAGCTGGCGCAGGCCCTTCGGCATAAGGGTGTCGAGGTGGTCATGGCCGCGGCGGATCGGGAGAGCGAAACCACGCTTCTATCTAGACCAGCGGCTTTTCAAGCATGACCACCCGCTTGTCCGGTCCGGATTCGACCTTGGCCAGTTCCGTGAAGCCGATGGCCTTGTGGAAGGCCAGCGAGACGGGATTGGGCGGGAGCTCGTTGACCTCGCAGCAGATCCGCGGCGGTTGCGGGCGCAGCGCCTCGACCGCGTCGTAGAGTTTGCGGCCCACCCCAAGTCCGCGTGCCGCCGGAGCGACCACGATCCGGTCGACATAGAGGAATTCGGCATAGCGATCGCGGAACCAGCCATAGTAGGGGCTGTCGTGCGCGGCTCCTGCCTCCATGGCGATCAGGAAGCCCAGCAGGTCGGTTCCGCGCTTCGCCGTCACGGCCAGGTGCGACAGTGCAAGCAGGTGGCGAAAGCGCGCCTCCGCCACGCTCGGGACGTGCGGCTCGGCGGCATTGTTCAGTATCAGAGCGTTTGCGATCTCGGCGTCGGTCAGAGGCACGATCTCGACAGGATGAGTCATGCCGCCTGCCGTCCGCGACGGGTTTCGGCGACCAGGTCGACCCAACGGTCGGCAAAGGTCTCGGCCCAGCGGCGGGCGCCCAGATGGTGCTGCCTGACCTGCGCGTCGAAGCCGGCGAAGAAGTCGGACGGCGCATCTTCCGCGTGATGGGCGAAGGACATGACCCAGTGGCGCAGGGTGTCGACGGTGGCTTCGCAATGAAACTGCAGGCCGTAGGCTAGACGTCCGAGGCGGAAGGCCTGGTTGACGCAGGCGTCGCCCGTCATCAGAAGCTCCGCGCCTTCCGGCAGATCGAAGCTGTCGACATGCCATTGCATCAGCGCCGGCTGCGGATCGAGGCCGCGCAGCAATGGATCGGCTTGTCCGGCCGCCGTGGTCCGCAGCGGCGTGAAGCCGATCTCCAGAGCAGGCATCCGCCAACCCTTGGCGCCCCAGGCACGGGCCATGAGCTGTGCGCCGAGGCAGATGCCGAGCACCGGCCGGCCCTCGGCCTCGAAGTCGCGCATCAGCCTGACCAGGCGTGGCAGATAGGGGTGCTCGTCATCGTCGGTGGCGCTCATCATGCCGCCGAGCACGATCAGACCGTCGTAGTCCCCCGGCGTCTCCGGCAGCTCGGTCGTGGCCGTCGGATCCGCCGAATGGCCTGCTTCGGGCGCAAGCAGGGAATCGTAGTAGCCGCCGCGCTTGAGGATCGCCGCGCCGAAGTAGCCGGCCGGGTCGTGCCGGTTGTTCAGAACTGTCAGAATGCGCACGCTCGCCTCACGTCCAATCGCTGGGTCGACCGTTCAAACGTCGTTTCGAAAGGTAGCGCGAGAGGGCACGTCTTCACAGCGCCGGCAGGTCATGACAGCCGTGCGTCCTTGTCTCGGTTGAGACAGGAAAGCAGCTCTCGTCGACTGCTTGCCTCCTAGGATGCCCGCTCGCGGTGATAGTCGAAGGTGGCGTTGATCATCTCCAGCAGGTGTTCCAGTCCGGTTGTCGGCGGATAGCGCGCCGGCCGGTCGGGGCCGCAGCAGGTCGGCAGGCAGGAGACATCGGCGTCGTGGTCGGGGTCGAAGAAGAAGGGGATCGAATAGCGCTCCCGGCCCGAGCGGTTGATCACCCGATGCTGGGTCGAGGCGAAGATGTCGTTGGTCCAGCGTGCCATCATGTCGCCGATGTTCACCACGAAGGAGTCGGCGATGAAGGGCGCGTCGATCCACTGACCGGCCGCGTTGCGCACCTGCAGGCCGCCGGCTTCGTCCTGGGCCAGGATGGTGAGGCAGCCGAAGTCGGTATGGGCGCCGGCGCCGATCTGCGCCTCGCTGATCCGGCCCTGCTGCGGCGGGTAGTGCAGCGGTCCGACCGTCGCCATGGGCAGGTCCAGATCCCGCTCGAAGTGATCTTCCGGCAGTTCCAGGGCCAGGGCGAAGGCCTGCATCAGTTGGCGGCCGAGGTCGTTGAGCCGGTCGAAGTAGCTCTGCAGGGTCTCCTGGAAACCGGGCAGGCCGCCGGGCCACTGATTGGGGCCGTGCAGGGGCGTGCCGGCGGCGACAAGGGGATGATCGCCGGGCAGGTCGCGGCCGATCTTGATGCCTTCCTTCAGGTCGCCTCCCTGCGTCTGCTTGGCCGGGTCCAGGTTCTCGCCGCCCAGCTTGAAGTAGCCGCGATGGCAGGCGGAGCGTTCGATGTCGATCTGCAGCTTGCGCTCCAGCGGGCCGTCGAAGAAGCGCTTGGCTTCTGCGAAAACGGCCGCGCGCAGCTCAGCCGGGACCCCATGATTGACGATGTAGAAGAAGCCGATGTTGCGGCAGGCCTCGCCGATCTGGCGGGCCACCCGGGTTCGCTCGGACGGCGTGCCGGCCAGAAAGCTTTCGAGATCGATGACCGGAACGGCCTCCAGCGGGATGCGCTCCGCGAGCAAGGCCGGATCGAGACTGGTCTCGGCCCTCGTCTCCGCTCCCATTTCGGCCGTGGCTTGCTCCGATCTAGACCTGCGCCTGCTCTCCGTCATGGCATCCTGTCTCGCAAGAGGTCGACTGATTTTGAAAGTACCACGCAGTCCTTGGGAATTCCAACATTCGAGCCGTTGAGGACCGGACCGCACATCTGTCATAACCTGTGTCGCGGATCGGGCGACCGGCAAGCCGCTGCATGGCCGGCATGCGCTGGCCCGGCAAACGGGACGGGGCAGGGCGAAGGGGGCGGGGATGGCCAATCGGGGCAGCGAGAGTCGGGGCAGCGAGAGTCGGGGCAGCGAGAGTCGGGGCAGCGCACTGCTTGGTGTCGATCTCGGCGCCGGCAGTCTGAAGGCCAGCGTGATCGCGCTGGACGGCCGCCTGTTGGGCGAAGCTGCCGCGCCGATCGAGACGCAGCATCCGCGCTTCGGCTGGGCCGAGCAGGACCCGCGCGCCTGGCTCGCCGCCTTCAATCTCGCCGTACCCCGCGCCCTGACCGCTGCCGGGATCGGCGCCGGCGAAGTGGCCGCCATCGGACTTTCGGCGGGCGCGCACATCCCGGTTCTGCTGGACGAGGCCGACCAACCCCTGCGTCCGGCCATTCTCTGGTCGGATACCCGGGCGACGGCTGAAGCGGCGGAGCTGCACACGCGGGCCGGTGCGCTGATTCTGGAACGCTCGCTGAACAAGGCCAACGCGACTTGGACGCTGCCCATGCTGGCCTGGATCAATCGCCATGAGCCCGCTGTGGCGGCGAAAACCCGCAGGCTCTGCCTGGCCAAGGACTACCTGCGTCTCTGTCTGACCGGAACCTGGGAGACGGATTTTTCCGACGTGATTGGCGCCCTGATGGGCGATTTGCGCAGCGGCGGCTGGTCGCCGGAGCTCTGTGCCTTGATCGACTGGCCGATGGAGACACTGCCGCCGGTGGTCGCGCCGACCCGGATCGTCGGCGGGGTGACGGCCGCTGCGGCGGGGGCTGCCGGTCTGGTGCCGGGCACGCCCGTGGTCTGCGGTTCGAACGACACCACCGTGGAGTTCTTCGGGATCGGTGCGGTCGAGCCGGGCATGGGGGCGGTCAAGCTGGCGACGGCCGGCGTGCTTTTCTCCGCCGCCGATCATCCCCTGGTGAATCCCCCGATCTCCTGCTACCCGCATATCCTGCCGGATCTCTACTACACGGCGACCGGCACCAACTCCTGCGCCTCATCCCACCGCTGGGTGCGCGACACGCTGTTTCAGCCGAACGCCGGCACGGCCGATGGCGGAGCCTTGTTCGCCGAGATGGACCGGCTGGCCGCCACGGCGGCGCCCGGCAGCGGGGGGCTGCTGTTCCATCCCTACCTGCAGGGCGAGCGCGCACCCTACTGGGATCCGCTGCTGCGCGCCGACTTCGTCGGCTTGACCATGCAGCATGGCCGTGCCGAGATCGCTCGCGCCGTCTACGAGGGCATCGCCTTCTCGATCCGCGACCTGGTGGAGCAGGCGCGCGGGGTTGGGCAGGAACTGGGCGAGGTGAAGCTGATCGGCGGCGGTGCCAAGTCGGCCACCTGGCGTCAGATCATCGCCGACGTAACGGGGCTCTCCCTTGTCTTGCCCGGCAACGGCGACGCCTCCTTCGGGGCGGCCCTGGTCGCCGGTGTCGGGGTCGGCCTCTTCCCAGATCCCCGCGGGGCGGTTGAGGCCTGCGTGACCACCGTCGCCCGCGCGGAGCCCGACCTTAAGCGCCGGGCTTTCTACGACGATCTCTTCGGTCTCTATCGTGAGACCCAGCAGGCTCTGGCACCGATCAATCACAAGCTCCATGCGCTGGTCAGTTCGGACGCCTGAACGGATTGCCGAAGTGTCCGGCCGGGCGTAGGCTCGCCGACAAATCCCAACCCGAACGAACGAGGTTTCCCATGGCCGCCGCGCTGTCCTTCGACGATCTCAAGTCTCGCGCTGCCGGACTGCAGTTCCGCAACCAGGCTTTCATCGGCGGCCGCTACGTCGATGCCGCCTCCGGCGAAACCTTCGACTGCATCAGCCCCGTCGACGGCCGCGTGCTGACCCAGGTCGCGGCCTGCGGATCCGAGGACGTGGACCGCGCCGTCAAGGCCGCCCGCGCAGCCTTCGAGAGCGGTGCCTGGCGCGACATGGCGCCGGCCCGGCGCAAGGCGAAACTGCTGAAGTTCGCCGAGCTGATCAAGGCGCACCACGACGAGTTGGCGCTGCTGGAGACGCTCGACATGGGCAAGCCGATCGGCGACTCCCATGCGGTCGACGTGCCGGCGACGGTCAACTGCATCCGCTGGTACGCGGAGGCCGCCGACAAGATCTACGACGAGGTGGCGCCGACCGATCCCAAGGTGCTGGCGATGATCCGGCGCGAGCCGGTCGGCGTGGTGGCGGCCATCGTGCCCTGGAACTTCCCGATGATCATGGCCGCCTGGAAGATCGGACCGGCCCTGGCGAGCGGTAACTCCCTGATCCTGAAGCCGGCCGAGCAGTCCTCGCTCAGCGCGATCCGGATCGCCGAGTTGGCGGCGGAGGCCGGGATTCCCGAGGGCGTCTTCCAGGTCGTGCCGGGCCTGGGCGAGCAGGCGGGCAAGGCGCTCGGCCTGCATGACGACGTGGACGCCATCGCCTTCACCGGCTCCGGCGA